CTTGTTCCTAGTAGTAAGGCCAGGAGCCCCTAGTAGCGTCCTTGCTCTTAGTAGCGTCAGGTGTTTTGTGCCTCCAGGAGCGAGGTCTGCAAAGACTGCATTTTGGTACATCACCACGCCATGCTGGCAAGCTCCCGACTGGAGCCCGTCTGACACCAAAGCGACTGCTCAAGGCTAACACACTTCCACACACATGTGACTCACGAAAAGTGGCCCCAAAGAGCTCTGACCTGCACCACGCGCTCAGCTGCCTGGATCAAGGAATCGTCTCCACGCCACCTGACAAACGACAGGCGTCCACCTTCTCTACGAGTCTTTCGAGACTTGTCACTAGCACTTATCTATATATTCAATGAAACATTCCGTTCTATTCCAAAAGTGCGCATGGCAAGTGTCCATGGCGTCATGCGTCCGTGTCCGCACCATTGGGAGACCGAGGATTGGCGTCGAGCGGCACTTCCGGGCCGTCCGCCCTCTTGGCGAGCTGGTTCAAGGCTGTCGCAACGTTCACACTGTTCAGCTCCTTGGCGCTGATGTGCACCACTACTTGTGTTTTAGCCCGCTCCTCCCCCCCCTCCCTACTTAAGTAAGTAAGGGATAGGTAGCTAGTACCTTGCTTAAGCTACTACCCACTGGACGCAGGATAGCTCACGCAGGATAGCTCACGATAGCTAGTACCCAACCTAAACACTAAGATTGAAAACTTTGAAAACGCTGTAGTTCAGAACATCTCTTCAAACTTGGACGATGTGGTCGAGAGCACCTTGACAACTTTGCCAATCGCTTTCCCTTGACAAAAGGAATCTCAAGGCCAAACTCAGTAGAAGTTCACGGCAAACATGAAGCAGTTTGACGCCAACTCGGAAAACGAGAGCTTGGTGTTAGTTCCAACGCAAAGCACTGCAGTCGACTGCAATTGGCAGGTGCAAAGCCAAGAAGCATTGATCTTTGACCGGCAAAGCGAAAGCAAACAAGCAGCTGTTGGAGCTGCTATGATCTCACGATTCAGCTGCACCTGGGAACGTCGTTGCCGCTTCTCCAATGGCTCAACAAGTTGAGGGAACCCATCAATAAAAAGGAAATAGCGCGATCAACACAGGGTAGCTGGATGTAGCTGGTAAGTCAATCGACTGATGCAGCCTGGTGTTTGGTGTTTACTGATTCCTGGGATCCAGCTTGGACTTTTTGCCGCCAAGCCGTTGTCACTGCACAGAAGCTACTAGTAGCTCCTGGCCTTACTAGGAGCAAGAAGCTACTAGTAACAAAGGGCATCGCTACTAGTATCTTCTTGCTACTATGTTCTGCTTCAAACCAAAGGACATTGAAGTGAAAGGATGGAGCGGAGCGAGCGGAGCTGCTCCTTGAAGCGGATCACCGGAGTCCAGCGTCTGTGAAGCGCGATGGTAGAGCCTGGAAAATGAACAAGAAGCTAGTAAGTTGGAGGCCATCGCTACCAGTAGCAAGAAGCTACTAGTAGCAAGGATGCTACTAAGTGAGGTAAACAGGGGGCATCAATGGGCATCATGGCTCGTCGGCTTCGGTTGTCAACTGTGACGGGGTCGGGAGTGCTGCACCAGCTTTGTGCGTATTGTTGCAAGACCTTCTTGTTCCTAGTAGTAAGAATGCTCCTAGTAGCGATGCCAGGAGCCCCTAGTAGCACCCTTGCTCCTGGTAGTAAGGCCAGGAGCCCCTAGTAGCTTCTTGTTCCTACTAGGGCATGTGCACAAAAAGCCAGGTTCCATCCTAGATTTATTTTGCTCGAGAACACAAAGAGAAAAGGCCGCCAAACAGAGCTCACACCTCTCGAGAAATCCGCAAATGGTCGTAGTGCTGCAGGCGTCCACCCGGTGTCCAAGGCAGCATGGGCTTTCAAGGCCACAGCTTCTTTTTTCGAAGTTGAGACTTCCCGTGAAGCTGACTCTCGACTTGTGTTTGTCTTTTTCTGACGGGAAGATAGTCTAACGATCTAGGCCCTATATAATTAGGCTTGGATCATAGCAAAGACGCTACTAGGGGCTCCTGGCCTTACTACTAGGAGCAAGGACGCTACGAACGGGGCTCCTGGCCTAAGAACTAACATGACGGACCAAGGGTCCTCCTGCATTTGTGACTTTGTGAAAAGCACGCAGCACGCGGTCCTCCAAGTATTCAAATACACACATTTGAAAGTACAACGATCTGGTTCCGTCAAGACTTCAACTGGTGCATCAACAGCTAGCGGATCCCAAAGTTGAATGGCAAAGGGTCATATGAACCTGCTATTGCCTGCTATTCCTTCCACATACCCTGAGCCGAAATGGGCTGATTTGACTGCATGTCCTTGAGCGTGATTGAAACAAGAACAGCAATTGACAGTCTTTTTCAATCTTCCAACTTCCCGTCTTTTGATCCTTCAGAATCGCGAAGTCACTCTCATGTCACCTGTGGTGCATGTGCCATAGCACTGCCGGCACTTCCCTGGAAAACACTATGGATGGAGGCCATCGCCATTAGATGCTATTAGCATGGAAAACACTCTGGATGGAACATTTGTTACCAGGGGCCACAGGCTTCATCTAAGCATTTCACTGCTCGTTCATCTCATTCGGCACCGATCGAATGTCTGCGGGTGGAACAAACTGGGGTTATCCCAACACTGAGGAGGAGGATGGAGGAGGTATTGCTCAAGCATGCATGATTGGCTGTATTCTTCGGGGTACTTTGGAAAGCGTTTGAACATAGTTTTGTACGTAGGCATTTTAGGGGAATCCGTGAAGCTTTGTGGCTAGCCAAGTCTTGTGACTCGTGCTTTTCAAATCTAGGAACCAAATCGCTTCTAGGTTGGAGGCCATCGCTATTAGTTTCTCTATAGAAAGTCTGTATACGTTTTCCTCTACAAAGCCAGTCGTGTGGGTGTTGTGCAGTGGAGGCATGGCCCAAAATGGGATGGATCTCATAGAGTTCCATGCGGTTTTCGCTTGAATGTAATGCTTTCTGGTATGAACACTGACACTATCTGTGCAAGCATCAACTGCTCAAACGTATGAACATCACTCCGAACACCTTAACTAGTGGCCCTGTGCCTATGCTCTTTCAGCTGCCGTCCTCCGGATTCGTCTGGCGTTCACCGGGCACCTCGTCGATCGGGGAAGGTCGACGTCGGGACGGAAGACGGTGGAGTCGACCTCGTTCCTGTTCATGACATGTTCATGTTCCGTATAACTAGGTCTCTTGAAATTCTTCGCTTCGGCATTCACACTGAGAAGACACTGAAAAGGTCATACCGTATCATACCAGTTGAAAGTTGGTGGGACAGAATCTGAGCATCTGGCTTTCACAAATCATTTAACTTGCTTTGCGTGGATTGATAGCCCCACTACAGGATATGGACTCTGCTCTGGCCGCCCTCCTCTACCAAACCATCTCTGTCCAATGGCTTGAGTCCAAAAGTTCAGTCAGACTGCTCCAATCTACTAGCGATTGGCCTCCTCCTATGGCGAGAGGCACCCCTCGGGCCATCCGCACTTTGCACAGAAGTCTACACTCAGTCGCTCATGAAATGATCTAAGGTGAGAACGGGACAATGCACAATGATCCGTCTGTTTTCTAGCCAGAGGGGAGGGCCTGCTTGCGTCCTCGTCTGTTGACCAGCTCTTCACTCCAAATGAGACGTCCGGATGCTGCAGATGCCCAAAGGTTCCGAGGCGTTGATCAGACTGGTTCTCGTTCTCGTCGTCAGCTCCTCACGGTCAGCTCACTTTGGAGCAAAGAGGAACGGAAAAGGACAGCTGAAAAATGCTGAAAAGCACCAACTCTCCGGTGTCTGGAAAAGTCTGTCACATGATTTGGCAGCCAGGTGGAAGCAAAGTGCTGAGCAACGCCCAGTGTTCGAGCTTAAGAGATCCCTCATCCACAAAGCAAAGTGGATCTTCTCGTCCTTCGGGTTTGAGGGCTCCGGTCCGGTTGTACCAAAGTTCATCCACATGTGAGAAAGCCTCGTTGAGACTGCCACAGAGTGTGGGCATCTGCTCAGCCACTCTCAGAACAGCCGAGTTCTTGTAGGCTCGCACAGCAAACTTCTTCCTGCACCTGGGATAGTTAGCAGCTTTTTGCCTGGTGTACAAGCCATATGCCAAGCGAACTACATCAAAGGCTGCGGGCGGTGCAGATGGATTCTGAATCCCCGGCATGCGGAGCTCCACACTTGTCTTGCACAACTCCCACTTGCTACCTTCCAGCCGCAATGTGGCATTGCAAACCGTAAAACTCGCTATGCTGTAGTTGGCCTCACGCAAATATTCATAGGACACACCTTCCACCGAATCAGCAATCGACCTGACGGTGTCTAGCACTTTAAGCTGAAACTCCTCCTCTCCACCGTTCCTCCTCAACAACGAGATGAGAAAAGAGTCCGGCGAGATGCTATTCTTGTTGACTTCATTCCAAATGGACGCCCGCAAGTTCAAACCTCGCCGATGCACAACTACAATGGACACACACCGCTTTTGAATGGCAATTTGGCTCTTGAAATCATTCCACTCGGCTGTGCCCAATGTGGAGAACTCCTCCGACGACAAAATCACGGGAGAGTTTGCAGGCATGGTGCCAATGGTCTGGAACAGCTCCTGCATCTTTTTTGGATCCGCAAACTTTGGGTTATGCTGTAGGCCATGTTGTTGCCTGATTGTGCTTGGGATGTAGGCAGCCGCCTTAACACCCTCATTTGCAGCCACGGATATGCCATATTCTTTCCAGAGCCATTCGGCGTTTTTGATTAGGAAGGTTTGGAAGGTGGTCGTACCAGTCTTGTGTGGACCTATGTGCACCACCAATGGGAACAAGCACCCTGACTGTTTTGCTACTGTTTTCTCGTCTTTCTCCTGCGATTGCACAGCCGTCGGTTTCTCATCTTTCTCCTGCGATTGCAGGGCCGAAGGTTTCTCGTCTTTCTCCTGCGATTGCACAGCCGTCGGTTTCTCGTCTTTCTCCTTCTTGTCTCTCTCCTGTGGTTGCACCGCCGTCGGTTTCTCGTCTCTCTCCTGTCTTTGTACGGCTGTCTTCTCGTCATGCTTCTGTGTTTGCACGGCTGCTGGTTTCTGTTTGTCCTGCCACTGCACTGCCACACAAAGAACGTCTTTTCGGGTCAACGTAGCAAAAGCCAGGATGACAATGAGAACTGCAGCCAGACATGTAGTGATCATCTTGGCAGAGAGACTCATGGCTACAGGATCGAACAGGGAGATTCATCGCACATTATCACACCGCTTAATCATAATCCAGCACAAAACCTTCAAACATTTAACTACCTGCTCAACTATTTGAAATACTCGACAAGTGTATGGCAAAAAAAGAATCTGTGTGTTTCGAGGTATGTTCCGGAATTGGTGTAAACTGCCCCTAGTCCATCAGGGATGGTGCAGTCTCCTGCTAGAGCTTCAAGACTTGGTGACAACAGAACTACGGAGACATTGCCAATAGGTTGGAGGCCATCGCTACTAGTAACAAGAAGCTACTAGGTGGAGGCCATTGCTCACAAAACAAACATGGATACTAAGACATGCTTTCAACTAATCATCTGAGCAAAACGGAGAGGTTGGATATCGCTCGAACACGAAAAGACCCCTCATGACCCTCAGAGTAACTCTTCGAGGTATGAACACTTTAGTGAGACAGAATGGCCAAAAAGCATCTAAAGAGAATGGACAATTTTTTGTAATTGTTCCCCAGCACTGGAGGCCATTGCCATTAGGTTGGAGGCCATTGCTACTAGAATGAAGGCCATTGCTACTAGGTGGAGGCCATTGCTATAAGGTTGGAGGCCATTGCTATTAGGTTGGAGGCCATTGCTATTAGGTTGGAGGCCATTGCTATTAGGTTGGAGGCCATCGCTACTAGGTGGAGGCCATTGCTATTTGGGGCTAAAAGGAAAAGATGTGCTTCCGTTTTGAGAGTTATTTGCTATCTGGGGTCTATACCGGTGTAAGCTTTTTTAGTTAAATATCTATGAGTCTATGAATGTATACTTATGTTTTTTTGTGGCCTAGAAAACCTGACACACGCTCACGCTCAGGGGTCCCCCAATGGACTTTAATGGCAGCCCAAATCCTCCCAAATCCTTCCAACCCCTAAAATGCCAATCAAAGAAGAACATAAAAGCGGTTCTTTAGGACTTTAGGAAAACCTTGGAGCATGAAAAGAAAAGCAATAACTCCAATAAATCAAAGAAACACCTACAAATGTGTGGTTTAAGGCACAAAAAATGTCTGAAATCAGCCCTCTGGCTCGTGTACTTCGTCATAAATCTAGCATCAAATATAATATACCACCCACTTATTTCGCCGCGAGAACAGCGATTATGTGTACGCAAGACACGGGAACTGACCGATTAAATGTCCAAGAAATGCAGACAAAGGGCGTCAAACGATCCAAAGATATGGTTCGCTGTCTTTCTACTCAGAGCAAAACGGCGACTTTGAAGATTCAACCAAGCGGTGCTGACAAACTGTTTCGTCGCTTGCATAGGCTTGTGGATCAAGCTATGAAGGCTATGAAGCTATATATGTCTTACAACGGTCTATGTATTCAAAATGCCTGGCACAAAACCAGCAATAAACGATCGAACACATAAAAAGTCCTGACGGTTTCTGCTCCGCACTGCTCCGCACTATCTTTTTAACTCTCTCTCAGATGCTCTGAGGCTGGGGCTCAAGCACCAGCTGGTCCGCCACCAGCTGTGGGGCAGCTGTAGCTTGCTCGCGCTGCAGTGTAGCTTGCTCGGATTCTCTGCACTGCTTGGAGCAGAATGTTGCCGTCGGGCTTTGGCAAGCCGCCCACTTCAAAACGGTGAGCAAGCAGGCCCAAGGCCTTGACTGCAAAGCGTGCCTGGCACAAAAGGAGTGAAACCCCACTGTTGTATTGTTTTGTATTCTCTGAACTCTCGCAAGAGGAGTGAGAAGATTCAACTGTTCAGTGGTATTGAAGTCTTCTTCCGGTCAGCGGGCTGAGGGTTGGCGTGGAGTCTCGCGATGTTTGTTGCAAAAATACAGGCCATTTTTCGCTGCACCACAGCGTTTTGAAAAAGTGCTCTATTTGCATTGTTCACTCGGTCCTCCAGGTGAAATGTGAATGTCTGCGGCGCTCAGAATTACTCTGTGCCATTCTGTGCCTGGTTAGATGAACTTCCACAAGAACATCCCGGCGGAATCGTTACCGCCCCGCCCCACCCCACGGCTTTGTTCTTTTCGGGCGTTTCGCTGCAGCCAAAGAAATCTGAGGTCAAAAAGATGTTTGATTGTTTATTTTTTTACTCCTTGGTGCAACCCTTACAGATTGTCAAAAAGGTGGCCCCCCATTCGTTTTCTGTGTTTGGAGTACATGTCGGAAAATGTGTTTGTTTTTTTCGATGACAGGGGGTGAACGCACGTGCAAGTGGACACATGCAGACACGACATGAAGACAATCGACAATTGTCATGGTTGCACTGGCGCTGAAAGCAGGTTGTACTTCTTGGGAAGTGTTTTACCAAGCGAACCACACTGCAATTGCACTTCGTGTCACACCACCCATTTATATACAGTTCTGACCGTCAATGTGTGTCCATGTAACCTGTGTCAACAAGTGTATATGACTTGTTGTTGTTGCGAGTAGGCAAGTTTGCGGCATCGGACAACTTCCGGCCAATAATACCCTTTGGTTGTAAGCGGCGTTTTCAGCGTTGCCAGAGCACGTCGAGCTTTTGAAGGTGGGGAATCCTTCATTCGACATCCGTGTTGCACTCGAACAATTTCATTACACGTGTTAATGAGTATCCATGTCATTTTCTGGGCGGTATACATTCCGCTAGCAAAAAATGTCTTCTTCCACGAATCCCATGTGTAGTACTTTCACAAACGTTGCCTCAAATGAAGACTATGTAAAACATGATAAACTCCTTTGATGAATTTTCATCTAACTGACTATACGGCAATTCTTCAGTGTTGTGGTGTGGAAGCAGTTTGCTGCAATGAGTCTTTGCAAGGGCAAGATGCATAGGCAAAGATCCTCCAAAGTTTGTACTTGTACTCGTATTTACGTGCCCCAGATTGTTTGCGCAAGCGTTTTACAAGGTACCACATGATACCTAGTTATGCACGAAGGCATCCGTTGCCCAGCAATGTCGTGCCTGTGGGATCTGGCTTTGCTTGATTTTGTGCATGCACAAAACTGTGGGTTGCCTTTGTGCGCCAAAAATTATGCAGTTTCACTTTCATGTAGAGCCTTGCATAATCTTGCATACCAACAATTGCTCCTCCAAGATGCAGGAACCTACTATTTAGAATCCAAATACTAGGAAACTTGTAGACAGCAAAGCGATTCGCAGCGCATTGATGTTTGTGTGCTTTTGAAACGTGCTTGCGCGTCTTTCTTTCGCCTTCCGTGACGAGATCGCTTTTGCGCGGCCTGGGGTTGGAGAGCCCAGTCATTTATCTCCTAATTCTTTCATGGCACAGGATAGCCGTGAACCCAAGGTGTTAAGGTATATTGAAAAAGTAAACTGAGTTGGCAAAGTTATTCTTTGAATCTGCATGCCCGCAAAGAAGTCGGCAATCCTACTTGTCACCCCGTTCCTGCTTGAGCGTTTGCTTGGCCAACGTGGAATTGCATCCTTCCTCTTGGACAAAGATATTGAAGATGTCTGTGTCAGCAATCACCGCAGCCAGCTCGCCCAAAGAATTCACGCTTTCACGCCACGTGCTTCTTAGCGCGGCGTGGCCCACATCTCTCGCCGCCAAGCTCTTAGCATAGCTCTTTTGCACGTCTCCAAGAGAAGCGGAACAATGTTCATAGGACGCAATGGTACTCAAAGAATCCATGAAAGCATTCACCTGGAGCTCAGCGGCCTGCCCAAGGGTAACAAAATTGATTCTACCTAATAGCAGTGGCCTCAAAACTACTAGCGATGGCCTCCAACCTACTCGCGATGGCCTCCAACCTAAGAGCAATCATATTCTGCTCAACAGACCGATAATGGCTTTCAAAGGTGTCCGTTCGCCTCCAAATAACCGTCCAACTTTCCTCTCAGCTCCCACCAAATCCGGTCCACCGTGACCAAAGCCATGCGCCGTTCTTGGGTGTGAGCTGCCTGCTGCCAAGTACGGACGATAGTGCTTGTCACATTGCCATGCTCCTTGTAGATGCCTGACAAATGGGTATGTTTCCAAGATGGATCGATGTGTTTGGAACCCCTGCAACCAGCCTTTCAATTCACGAGGCATGTGTTTATGACTTTGGCAGCATACTAAACTTGGCCCTGCCTAGAGTTTCCAGTTGTTGCTTGGCCAAGACTTGTAGGTTCGAAGCTTCCCGCTGAAACTGAGCGCCCAAACTTTGCATCTTTGAAGAGCCCAACGAACCGACAGAACTTTTCATCTTAGCGTGCAAGACCTGGGCGTTAGAAAGCCTGTTTGAAGGCTAACAAGCACACACAGTCTTCTCTATCTTGATAACATGGCACATGGCGCATCACAGCACTCAATTCTAATCCACGCCTGCAGCTCTTGCAAGGCCATTGAAGCGGTCGTTGTGTTGACCGGCCCCTCCAATCTCTGCCCAAACTTCACGAAATGCTCCAGCGCATCTCCGGCCGTGTGACGGGCCATCGCGCTGCGGAACGAGACCGTTTCAGCAAAACCTGCCAGCTCTGAGAGCAATGAGGAGCTCACCTGCGAAAATGAGGAGCTCGCTCTGTGCTGCACTCGCATCCAATTGAAATGGTGTCCAAAATGAAACGCGTTCAGTTGAAATAGTACTTATGAAGCTACTAGTCACAAAGGGCATCGCTACTAGGAGCAAGGACGCTACTAGGGGCAACGCGTTCAGAAACCGGTTTGCTTCACTGGCCCACACGAGCGAGAGAGTTTCTGGATTCACCGCCTTCTCTACACGAAAGAGGGGGAATTGTTGTTGAACAGCTGGTTCACCATAAGGCAACTTCTAAATGAATGCTGTGGGCTGAAGGACTCAGACCTATCTCTTTGCACTTGACATAGCGTAGTGTAGTGTCTGTGATCAATTCGAGTGTCCGAACAACAAACCCAACAGCAAGCCCACGACCGCATAAGAAATGGGACTAAGTCCTCATGATGCTGCATGTCAGCAATCTCAAAATGCAAATTTTCGGCACAAGAAATGTTCAAGCCACCTCCAGCCATTTCCTTTGATGCGAGCTAAAAACACGCTCCTGTCTTGCTTGGAACCGTCCAGCGAGGCGGGAAAGAAGGCGTAAACTTATGCAATGACCTT